ACCATTCAGATTCAGTCACTTTACTCAAGTTTGTTGATTAAACTGATAAAAAACTGGCCTAAATCTGAAACTTCTCATGCCTCTGCCAAAGAAAATATTCAAATCACCAAGAAACATAAAACCACACTAGCCCATGTCTGCTCATTATCAGAACTAGAGAACATACAGATTTCAAATTACTGTAAGTAGAAAAATAAAGATCAGATACCCACAGAACTGCTGTAAGCCTGTGTGCCTGGGGATGATGATAGAAGAAAGAGAAGAAGAAAGGTCACCCAGAATGAGAAAATCCAGTACCACGTGGTCAACACTGATCACAGGTGCCAGGGTCCAAGTGCTGACTGTAAGATAGGGCTCAAAAGCGTGCAATCCTCAGGCAGAGTCTCAGGAGTGTAATATGTCTGGGAAGAAGGAGGTAAAGAGCAAAAAATGATGTACAATTTGGAGATGTGGTTGTGAAGGGAAAAAAGGAAGAAGGGAAATTTCAAATGCTTTAAAAGAGAATATAAGACCCACCAACCACAATCATAGTCCATTGAAGAGGTCAAAACAAGGATAGGGACAAAGGTGTAAGAATCCTATGTGAAACATGATCATGTTCTGATAAAACAGGAAAAAAATGCAACTAAAACAAGGTAAGAAAAAGAAGAGTAATTACATTACAAATGTGATGAAGGAGGGAGTCAAAGGACATGATTTTAACTCGACAGTGACAAAGCAAGATTAGAAAAAGGAGGGAGGATGAAAGTAAAGAAAGTATAAGAGTTAAACAGGAATGGGTAGAAGATGGTGGGAAATCTCACTGACTATGTCTCTCAATGTAGCTTTTATTTTCAGAATCATGTTAATGTTTTACATATTCAAAACAATAAAATGAAGTCAAGAAGAGGAGGAAATTAAATTTGTATATTATTGGAAACCAATGAGCCAAATAGAATTTCAAATGAGTAACATAACCATTCTAATGATGAAGGTGGAGAACCAGTCTAGTATCTTCTGAACACAGGGTTTTTATTACATACCTTCTTGCTGAAGAAAAGCAAACAGCAAGCTCTTCTTGGTACTGTTTTGTTGTTGTTGTTGTTGTTGTTTTGTAGCATAATAGGTTTGTATACACGGTGGAAAGGGACACCCCAGTAAATGCAATGATATTGAGAGCCCTGATTCTTACCATACAAACACGAAGATGCGGATATGAAAAGGGGAAGGCAAGGATGCAGGGAGAATTCTGTGGACAGAAGGTGAAAGATGTGCTTCCACTGGAAACAACTAGAAGCCGTGCTCCTTCATTGGCAATTGTGTTCACACTCAGATTGTGGCTTTGAAATTTCATTTTTTCCAATTCAAATGAAGTAGGATTCCTTGGAGACATGGCCTATTTCAGGAACAGTGCAAGTAAAAGGCAAGAATATCTAGAAAGGGTCTAGAATATCTCTCAGGGACAGAAAATAAAGTGTTTTAAAAATAATGGCTACCTGTCAACATGATGGAGTCCAGCTTAAAGGGGCTTGCCTGCCCAAAGCTGGGGCAATTTGAGCATCAAAAGTAATATTGACCATAATGGCTTGTGACTGAATAATACATAAATTTTATGTGTACATACTGTTAAACAGGAATTATACTTATGTTCGAATACAAATTCCTAAGTGTACTGTAGTCTTTCTTATCCACAGGTTCATTTTCCACAGTTTCAGTTACCCTCCATAGACTGGGGTAGGGAAATATTAAGTAGGAAATTCCATAAATAAATAATTCATACTTTTTAAACCATTCAAAGTTACGTGATGAAGTCTCACACCACCCTGCCTCAGTAGCAAAAGCCTCCCTTTGTCCAGCATATCCACGCCTAATGTGCTACCCACCCATTGGTCACTTGGTAGCTGTCATGACTGTCAGATCAACAGTTGCAGTAACACAGTGGTTGTTATGATGTAGCCCTTATATGACTTCATGTGGACCCCAATGTACAAGAGTAGTGATGCTGGTAATTTTGTTATAGTGTATTGTTACAGTTGTTCTATTCTATTCTTAGTGAGTTTATTAATCTCTAACTGTACCTACTTTATAAATTAAAATTTAGCATAGACATTCATACGTAGGAAAAACATAGTATATAATAATTCATCATTTAATAACAAGAATGCATTGTGAGAAATGTGTCATTTTACTGTTGTGGAAATAGTACACTTACATAAGCTAAGACATGATGTCACTTCATGATATAACCTATGGGACCACTGTCATATAGGGGACCCATCGTTGACCAAAATATCATTATGCAGTGCAGGCTGTATATAGGTTCAGCACTAACCTCAATTTTAGCGACCCATTGGAGTTCTTGAAATGTATACCTCACAATGAGGGTGACTACTGGAGTTAGAAATCACCATTTGCAGCTAAAGTAATAGTTAACTCAGGTAAGAAGAACTTATTGATGGTTGCTAAAATAGGTGAAATTTTGGTGAGCAATAGGATTTTTTTTAAGTTTTAAAAGTATTTCTTATGTATTCACTATACTTCTGGAACTGGAATCTAGGGACATAGTAAATGGAAGCAGGACTTGCCTTCATGGAGCTTACAATCTTTTGATCATATTAAACATTACTGATTTTTTAAAATTAAAACAAATATAGAGGGGAAAATACAGAGTCTTCGTAAGAGAAAAAGAATATAAATATCATGAACCAGGACCTCTTTCATGGACAGGTCTGTGGAAACCATGTATGAATTATGGGTTTGTTTGCACCATCATAAGGCTGGGAGGTTGCTTTTCTGGGAACTTCTGGGTGAAATTCCCCCATTGGAGAAAGTCCAGGTCATGCTGGCGCCCTGCCTTAGCTCACAGCCCTAAGTTGAAATGCAGCCACCTGGAGATGGGCATAACCTGCCAAGCCCCAACTTGTTTTCCCTATTTTCATCCTGTTTTCCTGAAGAAGCTTCTCACTGAATCCTTTTGGTGTGTCTCACTAGAAATAAAGCATTCACAGGCTTTCCCCTTTTTTAGGATCAGACTTATCAGGTCTCTTTCTGCCTGTCAATGCCCCTGCTTTGAAAAACACACTGTGCTCTCTACATACTGCTTTTTTGTTTATATATATTTCAAATTTATTTGTTCTGATCATGTTATACATGACGACAGAATGCTCTTGGGTTCATTTTACACAAATGGAGCACAATTTTTCACTTCTCTGGTTGTACACAAAGTACAACCATCATACATGTACCTAAGGTAATGATGTCTGTCTCATTCCACCATCTTTCCTGCAATAGGATATTTTTATAACCTCAAAATATCTCCATCAAAATTGCTTATTAGTTATAAGAGGGGAAATGGTGATTTTATGGAGCAGAGATTTGGCAGACTCCACTTTCAGCATGTAATGAAAGTCAACAGGTCCAGTAATGGAATGCGTGGCTCACATTGGACTGATACGATGCATGCGGAAGGACCCAGCATCAAACAGGTCACTGTTCCTGCCATGTGTGCATGAGGACACTTCAGACAACCCCAAATTAAGGGACTTTGTACACAATAAATGACCTCTACTCAGAAAGGAAAGGAGGAGGAAGGAAGGAAAAAAGCAACATGAAAAACATAGGAATCGCTTCCAATTAAAGGATACTGGATGAATGATGATGACATTAGAATACAAAGCATGATTGTGGATAGCATTATAGATTAGAAAAAAGTGCTATAAAGGACATGTTGGGACAAGTGATGAAACTGGAATATGGACTGTATGTTAGATTGTTGTGCTCTATTAATATTGTGTTTCCTCAAATCAACACCTAGACTATGATCGTGCAAGAGAATGTCTTTGTTATTCAGAAGTACACAGAAGTGTTCAGGGGTAAAGGCTGTCTGTCATTTCTGCAACCTATTTTCAAGGTCCAGGGAAAAAATGAAAGGGAAAGAGAATGATATAGCAGAGGTGGCAAAAGGCTAATGATTAGTGAGTCTGACAAAATGTGTGTGGGAGTTTTTTCTACTGTTCTTGTAAATCATAAGTTTGGAATTATCATCTCCAAATGTAAAAGAAAATGGATACAGAGAAGTTACGAAAGAAAGATGTTAATCTATATCCATCTAAAAATACACTGTGCTTTCTACACACTGACTCAGAGCACCACTGCCAAATGCAAAGGAGGGCCGTAGTGAAGAGATGGGTAGAGCTGTTTTCTTGGGAGGTGACTAGGTGATCATTGTCACAGCTCTGGGCAGGGTTGACTTGCACAGTTCAGGGTGCAAACAGGACCACTGCCGCCACACTGGAACCAGGTCCCCAGACATGGAGGGCAGCTCTCACGCCACCATTTCACACTCCTTCTAAAAGATCTGCTTTTCCAGATCACGTCTCCCCTTCTTGCTCTTCCACGCAGTTCTGTAGTCACCACACTCAGCATTCACATACCTATGTGGCCCTGAGCATGAAAGCAGTAATTAGAAGAAGAATGGTGGGAAGAGGGAGGCTTAAGCCGAGTTCAAGTCTTGCATTTCTCATTGTCTTTTGATGTTCAAATGTCAGTGAATAACAGTGAAAATAACATGTTTGGTTAGCATTTCAGAATTCGGCTTTTGTTCATGACTTTACCTGAGATTCTTTTCTGTGGCCTCAACAAATAAGAGCCTGTGAGATTGTGACAGGTCTTAATGAAGTAGATTAAGGCATTTCTTACATTCACATTTTCCTTGAATGAGATAAACATTGTAATCTTTCTATGGAACACTCTCACATCAAGCCATGGTTTGATTTTTCTACCTGTTTGGAATATCAAATTTTGCATTTCCTAAAATTATAATGTATTTTTGTGAGAGAGTTGATAAGGCAGAAGTCATTCCTGAGATAGTTATAATAGTACTTAGAGCGAACTTGTCATAGGTACTTCTAAAAGATTATTTGGGATCCTGAAGAGATATATTTAGTAAATGTATTGAATGAGTTGTCACACAACAGAGCATTCCATTGATTCATTTGTGTTATTTTTGTACCTGACTGCAGGCGGAGAATTCAGCCTTGGCTTTGGAAAATGAAAATCAAAGAGAGCAGTATGAGCGATGTCTGGATGAGGTAAGGTGAATAGAGAGGTCCATCATATGGGCTGGTCAGAGCCTCATAATCAGATCTTAGTGTATGCTTATCACCAGCATCCAAAGAACCTTAGCATTTGCTGCTCCAAAGGGAAGTTGTAAACTTGTAAGAAGGAAGATCAGCAGTGTGTGTGTGTGTGTGTGTGTGTGTATGCCCATCTCTTTTCCTCTCTTCCCCCCATTCTTTTTTTTTAGTTGTAGATGGATATAATAGCTTTGCTTTGTTTTATTTATTTATTTTTTTATGTGTGCTGAGGAGTGAACCCAGTAGCTCAAGCATGGGAGGCAAGCACTCAACCACTGAGCCACAACACCAGCCCCCTCCCTCCATTCTTATTTACAAATACAGGCATCTGTAAATTCCTTCTGGTTATTACTTAATATTCTTAGGGCACAGTTGGAGTGTGCTTCCCTGTGTGATCAATTCCTTCTGTCCAATAAGTGTGATCCCTGCCTATGAATGAGAAAAATGACATTGGGGCACATTGCATCTGCAATTGGAGCCATCTCTGGAAAAAAAAAAAAAAATCCTTGATAGAGTGGGTGGGACGATGTTCACAGTTGGCAGCCAGAGGGAAAAAATCAGTAGATTGAGCACAAGCCAAAAAGAGAAAGGGAAGCGAGGAAGAAAATTTGAGCCGAATGGAAGGAGACAGGGCCACATGCATGAGTAAATTCAATAAATATTATTTGATGATAATAAAGAGATGAAGACAGAGACTTGGGTGTTTGGGTTTGGGGCAGGTAAGGGGGAAGCCAGTAGTGTGCCTCGCCCTGTCCTCCCCTCAGCCTTCCACCTCACGGCCAACCAGTCATCCTGCTGGAGATGCCCTGCTGTGGCTTCCTGCTGGGACAGGCCTTTCCCCTCATTGGAAATATCTCCTCTGAGACTTGCTAGTGATTGCTGGCATCACTTAAATGAGAGGACTTCTTTAGGCATCTGCCCAACATCCTAAAACTCATGAGTGCTCTGGGAGATTCAGTTTGAGATTCATTGAACAGATTTTTGAAAAGCTATACTTAATTACGTTTCTATTACTCTGCCAGTGGGGATTACCAAAATATTGTCAGTCCTTTTTCTCCCTACTAACAAATAGGAAATATGTTTCCAACAAGTTCCTCTTGATGTTTCTTGCCCTTTTCCATCTCCCTCTCTTCAGCCATGCTGTTCTAGTGGCTGATGTGCGAGACTGTAAAGCATGCTTTCTCCCATCCCAGCTATGACACCCAGTGTATCACCATATAGTTCTTTAGAGTCTGTCTCTGTCCTCAGTGTACAGGTCACACTTGGGGTTTTCCTGCAGCACTTCTTCTTGGAACGTGATTTCTGGAGGGGCAACATCTACTTCCCAGGGACCTTGTTGGGAATGCCGACTCTCGGGTCCCACTGAGACTCACAGAATCAGACTTGGGGTGAGCCCGTCATCTGTGTGTCACCAGACTCTCCAGTTGGTGCTGGTGCCTGCTGCACTGGGAGTCCTGCCTGAGAACAGTCTGATTTGTATTTTTTGCTTATATGCGATTAAAGAACTCCCAAGATGTCCCCAGAAAAAATATTAATATTCAATTTTTCATTGTGTTATATTTCCAGCCAAATACATTGGTTATTAAAGCAATATGGTGTTTGTAATTTTCTGCCCTATCAGGAGCCGAATAATCTTTACAATGTCCAGAGTTAAAAGAATCATGAAAAGTTGGTTGACACAAAAGAAGGCATAAAGGCTCAGGGTCTAGCGAGGCCAGTTCGGCAGCCCTCACCCCTGCTCCCCAGCCTCTTGGTCGAATCAAAGTTTAGGCCAAGAAAGATCAAATAGATCTATGGGTGTTTAAAGGAACAAATAATGCCCTTGGGTCATATGCATTGATCAGCAAAGTTTCACTTTAACCTCCTGCACAGAAATTTCCAATGAGACTTTATCTGTACTCGAAAGTCAAATTTATGAGACTCACATCACAGAAACTTTTTATGTGTCACAATTCTTTCCCAGGTCACCCCTCTCCATCTATCAAAAAGCTCACAGCATTTCTCTTTGGAAACCACGGTCTGGTTTCTATGTGTTTCCCATGTCTGTGTTCTGAAGGTCTTGTCAGAATTTGTCAGGAGAAACATAAGTTTTTACCCACAAAACCATTTCATAGAGTTTCCACTGTAGGCAGAATTTTCAGAGGGGAAGTCCCTCTGTTCTTAATTGCAAAAATTAACAGTTGCCAAAGAGGTGATTACAACAAAGAACTACCTCTGAGCAATGCAAATGTTTTGTATTCACAAAAACTGGCCCCTGATTACACATGCCAGTTGTTTTGTAACTAATTGCATGAGGTAGACAATCCATTTCTGTGCATTGTAAGAGAATGCTCTCAAAGGGGTAGTTCAATGTAGTAATAATGCCAACTGGAAATTCTTTTCAAGACTTTTTATACTAATTAGACAAACTAACAAGGTAAGGCTCATGTAAGTTATTTCCTTGCTGGTAGGTTTCATAAAACATACTCAGGTGAATTACATGTAAATTTTAATGTTCCTCAATCCTATCTGCATTGATTTTTATTTTCTGGGAAACAGAGAATATATTGAGGATTTGGGGAAAAAACACCAAGAGTCTGAAATTCTTTCTGTGTTTTCTACTAAAAGAGGGTGTTTACTCAAAAATAAAGAGACCCACATGCATAGATACACACAGCTACATATTCCCTGGTTTGATAGGTGTATGCACACGCCCACAAGTGCACATGCACACACACACACACACACACACACACATACACACCCCTTACCATCACCTCCACTGCTATCCATCTCATCATTTCCTTGATGGGAAGTACAGAGGTAAAATCAAGGATTTATTTCATTTTTCCTTAGGATTTTAGAGTTCTCCATGTTTGACTCTAGTTTATTAGGCTGCCTGTTTGACAGGCAGTTCACTGGCTATTGGTGAATTGCTATTTATTCATAGTATTGCTTTGGCCATAGTTCCATTCAGAACAACTATTCCCATGTACAGAAGTGTAATGGCATGTATATAATAAGTAAAATGATACCTGTTAAGACCACTGCATTTCATTTGGATGGACTGAGTTGTGACCTACCAACCTTTACTGGGTGTTGACCTCATGCAGGCCCTGAGGGCTCATGGTGCTGCCAAACTAGCAGACGTAGGAAAATGCAGAATCACAAAGAAAGGGGCCAAGAGAAACTCAGAACAAATGAGCTGCAAAGGAGACTTCAGGAACAGATGGCTCAGGCACCAGAGGATGGGAGGAGGAGCAGGTGGGTGGGTGGTGAAGGGGACAGAGGAGAAGGAGAGGGCAGCTTCAGCAGAGGAGCTGGATGGAGCCCATGAGGTTGAGTTTCACATGTGGGAAGGCAAGTGGCACTCACCCCTGTACATGTTGGCCATGCTTGGGGAGCTTCACAAGTGCTTCTGGTGAGGCTGCACCCCTGAGATTCTGATCAGATTCTTGCCTGGGATACAGTCTTGCCTGGGATAGAGCCTTGAAATTTGAAGCACTGACCTATGCAGAAATTTTAGGTTATCCTGAGTTAATAATGCAAAGCTTTGAACCAAAAATAAATACTACCACCAGGTGTGGTGGTACATGCCTATAATCCCAAAACTCAAGAGGCTGAGACAGGAGGATTACAAGTTTTAGGCCAGTCTCAGTAACTTGCTGAGACTCTGTTTCAAAATTAAAAAAAAAAAAAAAAAAAAGCTGAGATATGGCTCAGTGGTAAAGTGCCCCTGGATTAAATCCCTAGTGCCAACAATAAATAAACTCTATCCCAGCATTTCTCAAAGTTTGTTCCTAGGACCTTCTGCATCAGAAAGATGAGTGGTAAAATTTCGCATTCTCAGACCTGGGCCAGTTCTTTGCAGTCGGTATGCTATGTTGGGAGAGGAAATTTGCAGTATTCAAAAACTTTCCAGGGGATGGAACTTCTGCCTATGAATTCAGAGCAGCTGCCCTCCCCTTCAGACCCTCAGAGCTGGGCCCCAGTCCATAGAGTCAGAGAGGATGCTGAGGTCAGGTTCTTCTTCAACTTCTGTATTTCAAAGCACAGGAAAGGGCAAGAAAAATGAGACTATTGAATGTCATTCTGAAATAGAAAAAAAAATAATGCCAGAATATATTTTAGGCCAACACTCAATAAAGACAGAAGTACATTAAGAACATCTCTCTGCCGTGTCTCTGATCCATATGCTTAGGCTGGATTGTGGAATCATTACCAGGACATTCTCATGCATATCCCACATCTGGCCCCTATATAGTTTTTAAAACCCGTGTCTTAGTGGATACAGTCTTGTAGATGGACAGTGATCCTGCTCATGGTTTTCATGTACTCCCAGCACCCACTTCCTGACAAGGCCATAAAATGCATAGATGATCTTCTTGTCTGCCCACCCTCCAGCCACCTCAAAGCAGCATCCACATTCTATTGACCGTTATGTTTTCAGGACCCAGTATGATTCTTTGCCTATATTAAGTGCTTAGTGCATATTTGTTAAATGACTAAACGAATGAATGGAGACTAGCAGCAGGAAATTAATTTCCAAATTACTTTCCCCAAAATCCCACATACATATTTAGAATAATTTCTTCAGTTATCTCCTCTGAGATGAACAGTCATTTATTATGCAGCAATCCAAAAGATCATCCAAAGGATCAATCAGATGAAAAAAAAAAACAGTAGATCCACTTAAAAGACTGATTTGAGTTAGAAGAGACCACATGGGCTTTGGTTTAGGAAGACTCAGGATCAACATTGTCACAGCGCCCTCATCCTGTGGCATGGTGAGGCACACAGTTACTCGTTTTTATCTTATAGGGCTGTTTTGGTAAATGAATAGTATGGGTGCCTAGTGATTTGTGTATACACACACACACACACACACACACACACCCCTCACTCACTTAGAAATAATAAAATCTCTTATTTTCAAATCCTTCTTTCTTAGCTGCTTATTTGAAAAGGTGTCAAATTCTCTGAAGTTCAACCCCCCCTGGTTCATGTTCTATATTTATGGAGTGACAACCTCATATCAGGCCTGTCCTAGGTGGTTTCTTGGATGATGGCCATCTTCTCATGCAGTTTTCACAACATTAGGGACAGACAGTTCCTCTGTTTTATGGTTGCTCCCCATCCTCCCACATGTCAGTGTCCCATCAACACAGGCAGTTTTTGAACCCAAGTTTTTCTTTTGATTCTATCCTGATATTCTTCCTTCTTTTCTCCAGCTGCCTCAGTCTAGTAAGCAGAAAATTCCTCCAAAGCACGGTTTCAAAGACATGTGCTTTTTCAACCAGTTTTTCAGGTTACCTTGCTGAAATGACAGTTGCTTCACATGATAGAATAACACACCAAAGTATGAAAGCAAGGTATGAAGACTTTTGAGTTCTGACTCCCCTGAGTTTTCCCTCTCTCTTCCCTAAACTAGAGCCCTGGGCTGTCTTCTCAATGCCCTGAGAATTGGCTGAATAAACTCTCTACTGTGACTTCTCATCCAGCCTCAGGGATTGTTTTGCAACAAATAATAGATAACTCAGCAGCTCCAACTCCTCCTTCCTCTGCCCACTTCCAGGGGTATTGGGAACTGGTGTCCCAGCAGGAGGAAGAGCTAAGTCTTGTGGGGTGGAAGATGAACTGGGTATCTGGTGATCGGAGGAGCTAGCTCATTATTATTATTACTGAGAAGGAAAAGGGATATACTCAGGTGTTCTCCTGGGCTTCTCTATCTCACCTGCAACTCTGCTCCATTTCCTAAGAGTAAAGAGAGGAAGTCTCCACAGAGAGCCTGAGAAGGTTGCAACACAAGCCAGGGGGTTAAGGACTATCAGCTTTGCCCTGCGTGTCCCTCTAGCCCAACCCAGCTGCTATATTTCCTTTCTTTGGAGAGAAAGCTGGCAGGTGACACTGGAAGTTATTTGTTCTCATTAGCTGGGCCTGCTGGTGTCTGATTATTTGGAACCCAAGTGCTCAGGGTGTAATGCTAGAGCATTATGTGCAGGGGCTCATTCAGAACATCATCTTGTGAGCCAGTTAGAGGTTGCAGCCACAAACTCCAAACGACTGTTCTATTGATGCATCTGGGAAGCTTAGCTGTTAAAAGCAGAAACAAAACCTAGGAAACTGTCTTTATAAACAGTACAAAGAAAAGAATTAGTACAATCTGCCTGCTTTTCTGCAAAGAGCCTATGAGTCCTTTTGGGTAATAGAATCCCATATCTGTAGGTAAAGAAATAATGTATTAGTGTATCTTAGTTCAATTTTCAGGCAGAGCAAACAATTGTCCAAAGTACACGCCAGAAGGAACTGTGTCAGTCTGTAAGCCTGTGGGGCAACTACTTGGATTGCAAAGATATAACACATTTTCTCCTGTGGGCTGTTACAGTTAGGATATTACTCTATGTCTCCCATTAAATCATGGATAGAGCTATTTTATGTGACCACTGTTACACAGAATGGTTTAAGTGAGACCAGTTTGGAGGAAGAAAAGAAAATATTGATATTCGGCAGTTTTATGAGAATGTAAATCAAATCCAAAGTTTGACACTAAAAAAAAAAAAAAGACTAAATTACTTATGGTGTGAATTAACTTGGGTACATTGTTCCTGATTCAATACATGACTAGTTCCATCCTGCTTTATTTTATTTACCAACAATAGAATAGATATGTTATTTGACTTTAAATTATGAGTTGGAATGAATGTTTAAAAGCTAAAACATTTTCACAGTAATGCTGTTGTCAATTTGTTTGAAGTGAAAAATTTTTGTCACTGTTGTGGTCACATATGAATGAAAAGTTAAAGGAAGAATGGAGCATCAGTTTTGTTCTTGTACATGGTAATTCTTGGGTAGGCTTTTGAACTTGAGCTTCACTCAAATATTAATAAGAATACCTTTTCTCCAAAACCATAGTCAGTTTCAGTGAAGGCCTTTTTTGTTTTACTTGATGTAAACAAGGTAAATTTGGAAAAGCTACCGATGGGCAAAAACAAAACAAAAAACCCTCTTGTGCATACAGTTTACTAATAAATCATGGATAATGGGACCCTCATCATTTGCTGCTTGTGGTATGAATGCCTCCTAACCAAACTCTGATGACAGCCTGTGTTTTAATTTTCTCTGAGACTTGCTGGTAGCCAACTGTCATGAAGGATGTGCTATTTTGTCAATATTGAGTCAAAAAACAATTAAGCTCCATGAAAACATTCTTTCTGTAATCTGTTCTGCTACACTAGACAGGGAAACAAGCACAAATAGTTTAGCAACACCAAAAATAAATTTGTCATCAAGAAAAAAAAAAAGCCAAGTATGCCGCATAGTCCTGGGTTGATGTGAGGATTACCATGGCAATCACATGTCTGTCATGCTGTGTTAAAATTGGGCGTGGTGGTGCACGCCTGGGATTTAGGAGGCCAAGGCAGGAGAATGTCATCCCCATCCCTTTTTAGATTTGGTTCAAGGCCAGCCTGAGCAACTTAGCAAGACCCTGTCTCAAAATAAAAAAAAATTAAAAGTACCAGGGATGTAGTTCAGTGCTAAAGCACTCCTGGGTTCAATTCCTAGTACTCAAATTCTAAAAATTGTAATTATAATTTCCTGATTCCAGATACCAGATACCACTATATCCCAGTCATCTAGCTTTGCAAGAAGATTCTTAGAATATTTTTGTTAAATAAATGAAGGAAGAAATTATTGTGAAAAAGTAACTTATATTTAGGATATTTAAATATTCTGACTTGGTTATTAATTCTGAATTAATGAATTCTTACAGTTTACATACCGGCCAAAAGAAAACACCACTTGAATACTTTGTCCACCTTAGTTTTACCAGCACTAGCTATGTAGGTACATAGCTTTGTAGTTACTGTGAAGTTTAGTAGGTGATTGGTTTCAAGTGTCTTGAAATCTGCATTCACATACACTTATATATATATATATAAATTATGAATAGCTATGTGAATAAAATTCCAGTTTTTTTTTTCTTTCAGTACCAGGGATTAAATTCTGGGGTGCTCAACACTGAGCCACATCCCCATCCCTTTTTAGATTTTATTTAGAGACAGGGTCTCACTAAGCTGCTTAGGGCCTTGCTAAGTTGCTGAGACTGGCTTTGAACTTCCAATCCTCCTGCCTCAGCCTCCAGAGATGCTGGGATTGCAGATGTGCACCACCACACCTGGCAAATTTCAGATCTTTGAAATCTCTGAGACATGTTACTGGTTTTACATGTGGTCTTTATGTCAAGTAGTGTCACCTGCTTTCTTAACTAGTTGCTGAAAAGGACTAGAATTGTCGAGATTTGTTTAGATTGATCAAGACTCACTTCCTTGGAATGGACCCAGCTTTCCTCACTATCCTCAATTACCTGAAGACACTTATGATTCTGTTAGTACATCAGGAAGAATTATGTTCAATTGGTTATGGGAAGAAACTCAAAATAATAATGACTTTTATTTTTCTCTCACACAGAAGTTCAGAGAGAAACAATGTAGCCCCTTAATGTCATCAGGACCAGGCTTATCCAATTTTTCTACCCAAATACATTAAATATGTTTCTTCCATGTCAAGGTAACTACTGAAGCTCCAGCTATCACTCTCATGTCCCAGACAGAGAAAGGAAGAAGTTCTCTTCTTTTTAGATTTCCTATAAGACCCTCCAAATAGTCTGCTTTTATATTATCGGCCAAAGTGTTGTTACATGGTGACACATAGTTACAGGGAGACTGGAAAATGTAGTTGGATTTGCCCAGTACCCCATCCTTGGAGTTTGTTACTGAGAAAGGAGGAAAACATGGGTATTAGAGGAAGGAAGTAACTACCCGGTTCTATTACAGGTGGCAACCACAAGGGATGGCGTAAGGGGGGATGCAGAGAATCGGGATGTAGAGGAAACAATGTGTTGACCCCAGATGAGGCCATTCAGCTTTCCCTCTTGCAAGTAATTTTAAGCAGCAAAACAGTGGGACAGCAAGGGAATAAGAAGGAGAAGCAAAGGACACTGTAAATCAGCAAAGTATTGCAACTGTGTACAGATAATTAGGATCATGTTTTGTGCACTGTGTCGTTTTTTTTTTTTTTTTTTTAGCCTTCTTGGGGTACTTTACATATGAAAGGGTATTATTTTTTTCCAAATATGAAAATGTGAAAGTCAAGGTATGAATGATCTTTCCAGCTGAACCATTTTAATTAGCAACAAGGTCACCTTCGGAAATAGCAAAATATGACCTGGAAGGATAGGCTTATTATGAAAAGAATCAGGTCTTTTGGAAGTAGAGGGAAAAGATGGAAGTGAGGAGGTAATTAGCCACAGCGGGCTGTGGAGTATCTGTTGGTAAATTACAGTTCATGCGCATAAAGTCTCATTATTATAAACAGCAACTTTTTTTTTTCCTTTTTTTTTAAAGGTAGCCAACCAAGTTGTTCAAGCTCTGCTCACTCAAAAGGTAGGTCACTTTCTGCCTTGATTTTTTTTTTTTTTTCAAAATGCTTCTGTGAATAGAAATGCAACTCACATTGTCAAACCAAGAAATTGTGATTGATAGATGCAATACATCTCTATTTATTCACTCTGGTTAAATTCGTGGGTGTTTTAGATGGCACGTGAAGTGACATCAATGAATGACCAATAGAATCGTAAAGTACTAACTCTGGGTAAAGTAATAGGAAGCCTTTAGAAAATGAAAGATTTTGATGTACCCAAAGGAGTAGCAGACTCTTTATATTTTTTTAACTTAGTAAAAATGAACTTAAATATGTGGGAAGATTCTTCCAATTTCTGTGAAATGAACTCCACTTAGGGACAGCATTCATTGGGGCCTAAAACTCAGCAGAGGCCTTTGAGTTCTGGGAAGTGACTTCACTTCTCTGAGCTTTAGTTCCTCTGCTGTAGGGCAGGGATGACAGTTCTGTACCCCACCCTGGGGTGCTGCATGATCCTACGGATGGATGGGGTAGAACAGTTCTTTTATGTGTCCACATGAATAAGGGGTAACCGCTCTGCAGCAGGTCTCCTCCTGTTCCCCTACTGTTCTGCCTTCAGACAGACCATGTTAATGGAGCAGAGTGGGTCAACGCAGGTCATCGTTTGCCCAAATTTGGCTGGTTTGGTGAATTGTACTGAGTGTTTCCCCAAATCCTGCATAATATCCCTCGGAGGCTAATTGCTAGGTCCCTCAGATTTCATTAGTTCTGATTTATCTTTCTGTGAAACAGAGAGACTTCCTGTGCAACAGGACATCTCCCATCCTGCAGCATTCTCAGGAGGATGTGACTCATGAGAACAACACAGTTGGTGCTCTCCCAATTTTTTTTAATTAAAAAGAATTTTATCAGCTATTGACAACTTCTCAGGCACATACCTAAATATTACTTTGATTTTATACTGTATAGATATTGTGATGTATAGATATTGTGATAACATTTTTGCTAGGCCTCTTTCCTACCCCTTCTGTCAAAGTGTCATGTTTCCTTTTGTAAATAGTTTTGACTGCTTCAGGTTTTACTCTAATATTGCATAATAGAAGAGGTTTGACTACTTTTATAAGGAGAGTTAGACTTAGTTTCCATTGTGACAGATATCCAAAAGAGTGGTGGCTTAAATAAACTAAAATATCATTTCTTTCTTACATGTAAATGCATACGTAGTCAGTACAGGGCTGGTAGATAGCTCTAAGTCCAGGATGTCTCTGGCTTCTATCTTGCTTTTCCATGGGAGATAGCCCCCATTTCTAAAGTCTCCTAATAACTTACAATAGTTGTTTTAGCCCCATCATCATACCCACATTTCTGTCAGGAGAATAAAAGTCTCAAGTGTACAAAGATAGTAAAGAGATTTTATACCAGCTATCTTCTAAGGGAAACTTCCAGAAGCTTTTATAGTTCAATGTCCATAATCTTTGAACAGGTCTTAGCCACTAGGCCACACCTAAGGAGGCTGGAGAAGGTGCATCAGATCAGGAGGGCACCTGACCATTTCTGCCACAACATATTTGAATGTCTTTCCTCTTTCTAAGGCTTTATCCCTGTTTTCCTCCTGTTGAAAATTACGTTCATTGTGTCACAAAACTAAGGAATGGAGATATGTTAGTTAGCTTCACTGTGACCGAAACACCTGACAAGAACAAATAAGAAGGACAAGTTTATTTGGGGCTCGTGGTTTCAGATATTCAGTCCATGGTCGGCATAAAACAGCTGCTTTAGCTCCAGTCATCACACCCACACTTCTGTCAGGAGAATAAAAGTTTGAGGAGTACGAAGATAGTGAAGAGCTTATTTATACCAGCTATCTTTTAAAGGAGGCTTCCAGAAGCTTTTAGAGGCAGAACCATCATGGTGGAGGGGCATAGCAGAGGAAAGCTGTTCCAATTATGGCAGCCAGGAAGGAGAGACAGAGACAGAGACAGAGACAGAGACAGAGAGAGAGAGAGAGAGAGAGAGAGAGAGAGAGAGAGAGAGATAGTTTGCTTAAGGAGTTAGGGACAAGATATAATCCCCAAGGTAACATCCCAGTGACCCATTTCCTCCGGCCACACCCTACCTGCCTGCAGTCCCACCCAGTAGTCCATTTAAATGATTAATCCACCAAATGGATTAAGCCAGGAGGTGATGGTCCTCGTAATCTAATCATTTCGCCTCCGACATTCCTGTGTTATCTAACACGTGAGTTTTTCAGGGGACACCTCATATCCAAACCATAACAGAAGAGCTCACTGTTGAAGCTCTGTGTACAGCTGATGGAAGACTTTCCATGCCTGTCTCTTTAATGATACCTTCAGAAAGAGACAAGGAAGTTGTCTTGTACAGTAAAAAGGAAAATGGGACCCTTCAGGTCAGCCACAAAAAAGTAGCTACAAATCCAGGTAATAACTAGTAAACAGATAAATCTACTTTGGTACAGTTAAGCAGTACGACACAGAAAGATGTGCCACTGTGAGATAGCATACCTCAGGGACATCACAAGGCAGGGAGAGATGCCGGGGCTTTTGGAGATTTCAAAAGAATCATGTTCTGCTGAAATGTGTGCCTCCTGGTTTTTATAGGGACTGTAAAATTGCTGCCAAAAAAAAAAAAAAAAAGACAAAAATTTTCTATTTAATTAAGAGCACAATATAGGAAATAAAATGCATTCCAAATGCAGATGAGAAAACTAATTCTAATGCAGATGTAGTATGCACAGAGTAAAAGTAGAAATTTTGAGTGATTTATCCAAATTGCACATATGCACAAAAATCTTTGATGTGAAATAATAGGCAAACTGTACTCTTTTAGAATGGATCATTTCTTGTGATACACAGGCAAGCCTGCCCTGGCTTCAGCTCTCCTGCAGGAAAATAAGAAAGTATTTTTCACAGCGTATGGTGAATTTTTCTGGACTACCATCCTGAATAACAGAGTCCACCAATATTGAAGGAGGAAAAAGCCATTTTATTCCCGTTCACTTATTTTTTGCTATATGTACATACAATGTTCTGTTCAAATAATTCAGTTTAATCTCAAATACCTGTGGATTCTTCAGGTACAGTGGCACAGGCCTATCATCCCAGCAACTCAGGAGGCTAAGGCAGGAAGATCACAGGTTCAAGGCCAGCCTCAGCAATGTAGCAAGAACCTGTCTCAAAATAAAAAATAGGAAAGGCTGGAAATGTTGTTCAGTAGTTAAATGCCCCTGGGTTCATTCCCAGTACCAAAGAAAAAGGAAAAACAAACAAACAAAAAAACCTGTGGATTTCCTCAAAAGAACTAACTGTACCCCTTTCAACCAATAACAGTAAAGTGACATTATAAAGCCCAGTTCAGTTTCATTTATGTCTCTAAATCATGGGCCCAGGTCTACAAGTGACAGTGAAATCAATAATCTAAGCTAAACTCCTGTTTTCATCTGAAATATACTTTATCATCATTAAGTCAGTTATATTTGCTGAAAATGTAACTCCTAGGTTCTTCAATGTTTTATTGCTATTAACATCAGACTTGGAAGAAAAGCATTTTCCCCACAATTAATTTTCCTCCAAATCAACAATCTCATCTTTATCTGCTTGTTAGTAAAGTAACTAAATATTTATATGATGTTTTCTCTTCACCATTATAGAACCAGGCTAGTGTGTGATATAATCAAGCTGAGCAGTTATTCAGATGAAAGCCGAACAATTCTGTAGCTTTAAAGAACTCCAGCATCCTGTATATTTCCCTTGGGGGAAGGGGCAGTTGGACAATGGTCTGTGTAAAATCTGGTCCCTAAAGAGAGTCTATTCATATTTATTGGGCTAGTAGTCATATCCAATATCCTACATGGAGCACTTAAAATAGATTATGTCATTTTGTTCTCACTGCAACCATGTGAGGCAGGAATAAGAAAAAAATTTTCCCAGTGTGCCAGTTACTACAGAGTGTCAGAGTCCATACACCCTCTTACCCACTGCACCATTCTGCCTCCATGATCCCATTCACCCATTTACTATTTTTCCCTACCATAGGTCAACAGGGAAGGAAAGGGTGCAATGGAAATCAACACATGGATTGAAATCCAGTGGTTAGTTATGAACACAGAGAATATCAAGTCCATAATCCCATATGCCACAGCACTCACTATGTCCTCTGCATTGTCCTGATTTAGTCACACATTTGTTCAAGAGTCAAGGCCAGCCTCAGCAACGTAGCAAGAACCTGGAAATGTTCAGTGGTTAAATGTCCCTGGGTTCATTCCCCAGTACCAAGGAAAAAGGAAAACAGGCATCTGGTATTGAGGTCCTTGGTTAGTCTAAGGTATGAGCAGCCTTTTCCAGAATGGCATTTCATTTTACAGAAGCCTTAGCATATTTGGCAGAGTGGGAGGTATCAATGACATCTCCTTGGGATGTGACAAGAAGACGCTGGTAGACTTGGTGGCCATTAAGATTCAGGAAACTAGCTGGATGCAGGAGTACAGGGCCTGTAGCCCTACCAAGCTATTCAGGAAGCTGAGGCAGGAGGATCCTAAGTTAGCGAGGTGCTGTCTCAAATTTTTCAAAAGGGTTGAGTGTGTAGCACAGAGCACTTGCCTATCATCATGTGAGAGGCTCTGGGTTCAATCCCCACTGCCAAAAAAAAAAAAAAAAAGAGAGAGATCTAGAGAACTAAGAGGTTGACACTTGACAAGCCATCCATGAAGTCAGTGAGACATCCCATCTCTTGAAAAGCCCAGTTGTATGCTGTGCCTTGGTTTATCGATGTGAAAGCTGAAGCCTATTTAGAATGATTTACTCTATCGAGGTCATATGTGTAATAAGGAGCAGAGCCCAGGCCCTCTAATCCCTAGGCATCCCCAATTTGGTATATTCCCATGATGCGCATTGCCTTTGAATAGGATACCGTTGTAATACCTTACCTGATAAAGGCGGACTTAAATAGTTTTCAACAAGACTTTTATGAGAAAATCAACATATATCCTCTTTCTAAGCCATCAGCATTTTCTTTCTTTTTAAATTCTGAACTTATTAGGTAGAAGTGTAATGCATGGTAGTGGAATTCATTGTGAAATATTCTTACATGCACATAAGCATTTTTTAAAATTGACTTTAGCCTTGAGCCGGTAATGGTCTTACTCCTCATGTGCATAAAGTAACTACACTCCCACAGGCCTGTATAACAGTGGGTCCAGAATCTTCTTTCAGCCCAGGTGCAGGTGAAACTTACCTGGATTACAATGTAATTGCAATTGCATTGCCTGTACTTGGGTGAAATTGTGGTTTGGGACCATTAAGATGACAGGAGCCCTTTACATTAGTCTATCATGTTGCTCCCTTCAAGGTCAGCTATAGTCCTTTTGTCTCTATTTCTGTTTGATAGTGACATGTGCATTGAGAAGAGAACAGGCTTGGCTACTTTCTCAAACCCAGAGACCATTACATTGATCTTAAACATAGTGAAGTCTTTGACATTATTTCCGCACAATAAAATTAACCATCACACTCCCTTTTTATATCAGAAGAGACAGAAGAGATAAGAAGGGATAGCCTTATATTTTTCGGCAAGTTCTACCTGTTGATGTCTGAGATATAGTTAAGGAATGAGCAGGAAAAAAAAAAGAAACATGTTGTGAGAGGGGACAGATGGTGCAGCCTCCGCCTACAGCCATGATCCCAGACTGCGACATCCAAACAGAAGAGAGTTGTTTGATTTCTAAGGCTTTACTGGAGAGGCTATTTTAGGTCTTGTCTCTGGAAGTGACAGGGTCAGAAGAGTTGCTCCCGTACCCAGTCTAAATGTGTCGTCTGCTCCTTTATGTCATTGGATTCCTATTGTGAGCACAGAGGAAGCAAAGGCAGCCAGCTGCCACCCTCTGTCCAGGTACCACAATGGCAGTCAGAGGTGCTTTTCTCTCTCTGTCCGCTCTGATAGTGCCTATGTGTATACACATAAGCATATGTGTGTGTTTTTGTTATGGCTGGGATGTAATGGGATAGTGACGATCTGGCATCCGTGACCATCTGCAGCGTAAAGGAACATAGTAAGAATGTTTAAAACAATACAAACAATTTTTTCCTGTCTGCAAATTTTCAGATCAGCTCAATTTGTTTCTCGGTGATGTAAGACCAGTATCACATTTCCTTTGTCCCCTCTGCCATATGCTGCACTGGATGAGCAAAGAGTGATAAACTGAGAGTTCTCAGAATGGATGGGCTGTGTTCCCATTAATAAACTACAGAACTATTATGCTTCGAGTTGAATGAACTACTTTGCCTTAAGTTTACTATTAACGGCTGTTGAAATCTGGCTACTTATATAAAAATTCTCTGTTAGAGCATATGGATATTTTCTTTTCATTATTTTACTCATTTGAGGACTCTTCTGAGTTTTTCTCAGCTTTACTGCTGAAAATTGCAAGTGCTATTGTTTTCAGGTCCCCTTTTTTCTTGTAAATCCACACTTGAATGCTTCTGTTTGCATATCACCACCTACAAATGAAAATGACTGTGTTTTCCTAGCCAATGGGTACTATTAATATTTATCTACCCCACAGTCAAGTTTTATTAATTGCTTAATTAGTAATAGTGAAAACAATTAGTGTTATACGCATGCTAAGAACAAAAATTAGCATAAGTGAAACACAGAGGCTGAATTCTAAAGAAACAAGCAAACCTGGCCTTGTGACTTGAGTAGGAAGTAGGTCCTGACAATGGCCTCTGTCAAAGGAATGAGTACCCTAGAGTACAAATGCTCAGTCCTGCTTCTCCCCTTCTGGACCTTGTTTCCAGGTGCATCATTCCAAACATGATATCAATTTTCTGTCCTCTACATTCTAACAACAAATCAATTGAAAACATCCTATGCATGAACTTCACCCACTTAGCTAAAAGGGGGAAGAGAATATAAACTGTGCAGTGAGCCACACATTGGACTATTTCTTTGCCCCTTTTAAGTAGAATTAACCCTACAGGGTACGATGGAGTGTGCTCACGTACAATTTCAGCAATTAGATCTCTCTAGCCTTACAATTAGGTTGATACAAGGTGGTGGATCAGGCCCACCCACCTCTGTGACCACCATCATGCCCTGGGTATCAGAGCTGTCACCTGGTGCTTTCCCTTCCTTGCAAGAGCCTTGACTAAGGCCTGTCACTGCCCTATGGCAGAAAACAGACATCCACAAACTAGAAGTTTTGAGAAACTTGAACTCTATTTATCATCATGCCTATCACTGGAGAATAGAACCACCATTGTCATTGCTTCTAGCAAAGTAATTACAAACATTTATTAAGCTCCTACTATATATGGTGCTGTGCTAGACAATGGAATGAAAAGAATATTAAGAGCAATATGCTTATGTGGTTTTTTATTTTGTATCTTGTGCTGGCCTGTTGAAGGAAAGGTCATTTAATTGACAAGAGAAGTCTACACCACAAAAAAAATGGGACTAATACATAAGTATTATATGTTAAATATCACAGAGGAGACATGGGACTTATGGGAATTCAGGAAAGGGAGCAGTCTTTGGGGGATACCATATGAAGTGTCAGAGGGGAAAAAGTTGGAAGTGGACTTCAATCAGCTGGCCAAATATGGTCTGAAAGAAGGAGATGAGAAGAGAAATTGATGGCAGCTAGGAGAGGATAGCAGGAATACACAGAGCTTTCAGGAACCACAAGCAGACCCTTGTTCTCTGCTCCAAAAGAGCAGAATACATTTTTTTAAAACATTAGGAAATAGTAAAAAATTAAGTCTGAAATGTAGAAAAGGATAAGCTTTTGAAGGCATTATTCTACTGGGTCTGTCTTGAACCTCATAGGGAGGGTGCAGACAATTAAGCACCACAAATACCTTTATCACAGATGCCATAGGAAGGCAGTTCCCTGGTGGGGTCCCTAAAGCTCCCCAGTGTCAGCTCCCTACCTGTGAGCTGGGGAATAAACTATTCAAAAGAGCTACTGTAGCTCCTCTGAAAAGTTGCCCCGGTGGGCTGACTGTATTTCTTCTCTGGCACTGAGAACCAAATGCCCCCAAAAGATATGGAAATCCACTGGCTGGACAAATTGTAAGTGCCTTTTAAAGCCTTCACTTCAGAGCTACCCCCTTTCCCACTAAATGCTTCGCTGACTCTATTAGCCAAGGCGCCAAGCATCTCAACTCATTTCCACAAATGACATCGAAAGACTCCATCAAAAGTGATAGTTTCTTTAGTTCATCAAATCTCTATTCATTGTGAAAACATTGTTGTCCTTGTGATTTGTGCTTTGTGATTGCTTTCATGAAGACAGTGAAAAGGCAGAATGTATAGGTGGAAACTTAAATTGACTTTATATCACTAAGATTTACCGTCTTCAAAAATAGCATGCTACATGAATGCACTTCTGATTTCAAGGTGCTTTTTTTAAAAAAAAAAAAATTGGCCTTCTCTGCACATAATAATTCCATCAGACAATGGCCTGTGGAAGAAAATGTTGTTTGTGATTTATTTGGGGGGACTTTGAAGAATAAAAATCCTATTTTTTTTTTACTAATGTGTCTGAAATGTATAAAATATGATTATAATATGCAAAGATGTCATCCCATTATAGACATTTTTCCCCCTTTCAATGTGTTTGTTGTAGGATCTAAGGGAGGAGTGTGTAAAGTTGAAAACAAGAGTGTTTGATTTGGAACAACAGAACCGAACACTGAGCATCCTATTCCAACAGCGAGTCCGACCAACTTCTGATCTGCTCCTGCAGGTATGTGTTGACATGGAAAACAGTCTTTGCTACTGAAATGCTGTTGATAGGAAGTTACTTAATTTCAAAAATCACCAGCATCTCTAGAGGCAAGGCATAGTGTACCAAAATTCCAATCCTTCCCTGTCTCAGGAGATGTCATTAAAGTTGAAAATCTTTTAGATTCTTGACTTTTTTGAAAGCTACATGCAGATGAAGAAATGCACCAACAAAGAATACACAGGTAAAAGGGACAATCCAAGGGTGTCCTCCAGTAAACTAAGTGGAACCATTGAATGAACTTAGGAAATAATTGAGAGCTTTGGGGACTAGTATAAGGAGCCATGCATTCCATGATAAGCAAGAGAGAGTTCTATGTAATGACAAAGCACGTTTCTGTATTTCCAACTCTCCATAATAAAAAATACAACTGGGATTTGTTTTTCTATAATCGCTCTCTCTATATATAGAGTCCCTCTTCACATCACTGCACTTCCTGGATTCTCAGTATTTTTGCAGGTCTTTTAGTTACTCTAACTGAACTCTTTCTTCATTCTCCTCCATAACATGGAAAGTTGTGGAGAGTCAAGCCACTTGAATCCTTTTGTAGTTGTCCCTGACAAAGCACTGAGGAATACACTCCATGGCCAGGAAACACATGAATTGGTAGAGGGGGCTTGCAGGGCCAAGCTTTGCTGTTTCCCATCTTTCTGATCCTATTATTGTGCATATTTGCTCAAACAAGTTCCTCTGAGCTTTTCTCAAAGCTGTTCTGGACTCAGCTGTCAGAGGGTGCACTCAGGCTTCACAGGCACCTTGTGCAATTTGCAAAGGGCAACCCACAGCCGCTTGGTCAGGTGGCCAAAAGGAAGGCCCTTCTGCACCCTCTGATCATCTAGACTACACCGTCCAGCACTGGAACCAATAGCCATTTAAATTTTTCCTTATAAAATTGACATGAAATTAACTCTATGTTCATATGTCAAACTAGCTACAGTCCAGATATTCAAATTGGACAGTACACGAGTAGAATATTTTCATCATCGTAGAAAGCACTCCTGGACAGTACTTTTCTAAATGGCCCAGACTTTGTAACTAATTTACCCTCCAAATTTTGGCATGAACATCTTAGGACTCCTCAGAGAAATAATGGGAAATTGCGATTCATTTCAGAGAAAGAAAGATGTTTGGTAAAGCTGAATATCAAAATGTAATTTGCCCCACAAATTAAAATAAAACAGCTCTCTGAATTACAAAATAGATCTCATCTCTTAAATTAATTTCCTCTCTGCTTTATCTGTTAGAGCATAATTCATAATTTATGACTCAAAAATTATGGTGGGGGAGAGAGGGAAGTCATTTATCTCTATTCTATTTCCTGGTCCCTATCACAATAAATGTTTGTCATAAGGGATCTTGCATTTGTAAAAAGTCAGGTTTCTTTTGCAATCTCATAATCAAGATCCAATATTATAATTACTTTTAACAACTGTTGCATTTTCACAAATTTTTTCTGTTTCGCCTGTTTTAACTTGAGGCTTTTCTGGAATATTGTTTAAGGATCTGCAGTCCCTACTTATGAATCATGAATAGTTGATATGCATAGTAAACACATGTGCTGTAGATATTTAAGCTTTTTAATTGGCTGTCACGAATTTCTTCAATCCATGTTCAAATGGCAGAGGATGATGTATAGCCTTGCAACAGAACTCAGTGTTTATTGATCGGGTATTTTCTGTCAACAAACTTTGTACTCTTCTTTAAATAGTTTTCACTTCGAGGAGCCATTCTGGTTTAAATAATATTTATCACAGATAGGCTGTTAACAGTTATGTGAAGAAGAATGATAGAAAGTGGGATGCCTGCCCTCAAACACAAAGCCAGGTTCATCATGGGGACAGGTGAGAGAGAGGAGACTAACCTGAAAATTAAAACCTTTACATTGGTAATGAATTTCTGTATTGATTTCAGTTTCCAAAATGATATCTCTAGAAGAATGAGTGATAACAAATTAAATTAAGAAGAACCCCTCTCCAGGCATGGTGGTGCATACCTATAATCCCAGCAACTCTGGAGGCTGAGGCAGGAGGATTACACACACAAGGCTGGCCTCAGCAACTTAGTGAGGCTCTAAACAACTTAGTGAGACCCTATCTCAAAATAAAAGGGACTGGGGATCCCTCTATTAAAATCACAATTTGAGCTTAATTCTAAAGACTTAATAAGCCAGTACAGCAAATAAAATAATAAAGTCATATTCTTACAGGGACTGGGGTCTCTAATTGATCTTATACTAAATCTACTTAGATTAACCAATACTCAACATTTCCACTTACAAATCATACTGAACCATACCTTCAACTTAATGAATGGTGGCAAATTAATGAAAAGCTCTCTACTTAATCATATTTACTTCTCTTACCAATTATCTTGAATGCCCAACAAGAATGAGTTATGTTTGTATCTCAATTTGTTTATGTGAGGAATACTTGTCATGGTAAACATGTAATTAAGAAATTAATAATTAATTTCATACACAGTATATAAACCAATGAACTATGATGCAAAATGAGTATTGTTTCTAAAAAACAAAGCCAAATATTTCAAAAGTATTTAAAGGCAAGTTACTAAAAAATCAGTGTTCATGATCAAAATAAATATAGGTATCTGCCTGTACAAATTTTTTGGATCATACTAAATGTAGAGGGATTCTGCATGCAAACTGCTCTTCGTATGGTTTTAATGGAAACTCTGATAATAGGATCTCTAGGCAAAGAAGTAGCCTTGGCCTTACCAAAAATGTTATTGAAATGCATAGTGCTTACCACATGTCAGTGCTGTTCTTCAACAGCTAATTTAATTTCTTACAGTCCCATGAGGTAGGACCCTACCTTTGCATTCACTGTGGAGATGAGGACACAGAGAAAAGCTTAGTTACACAGGTGGTATTGCCAGAGTTAGGATTTAAATCTGGAAAACTCTTGCAGTCAAGTCCATTCCTTCTTGACAGTCACCTCCATGTTCCCTCTGTGTGGAACATGAATGAGCAAGAGGACCATTTTGATGACTTTCTGCTCTAAGTGACATTTTGATAAACAGAGTGATTGGTCCACCTGTGACCAAGTCAGATTGGAAGGTCTTCTGTAGTGAAGTCACTAAGCAGAGCCTGCTGTATTCACATATTTCTGAAATGTTCCTGGTCTGTGGCATCTAACATTTCCTCTCACCTATGTGTTCTGCCTTTGTCTTGTTTTGAACACTGTGTTATCATTGTCCTGATAGGATATTATTCTCATATTTTCATACTGAGACAGTATTTTTTTTTGGTCTTTCCTTTTTGATCTGGTATTTCAAAGGGTCCTACACCCACATCCATAGGCCAAGATGGAAAGAAAAGAATGTTATAGATCATTTACATAAGCAGTGGAGTGTCTCGCAGCTTAGAACCAAGGTGCAAAAATATACTGTCACCTCTCAGAGTACTTTTTTTCTTTTTGCTAGTGTTCTGTTTTATATTATATTTCAAATGAAATGAGAGAGTTTTTAAATTCTATTCATTTCTCTCCTCCTCTAAATCATTATTTTCAGAGTGTAAATCTGTCCATGAGTCTGATTTGGCAGGACACCACACACTCAGCCCTCCACCTTTTCATAAGTAGTACATCCCCATCTCTGAAATCCAGCCTGTGCTGCCCTGTTGGGGGATCTTTCAGGGTTATGGCGGTCCTCTCTGAACTTTCCCCCAGCTGGAGATCATGCAGTGTTGGTAGTCCATGCCACACTCCATGGCCTGTGTGGGATTATGGGATTCTGGCCTCTGGTGACAAGGACAGTCACCCAATGCAACTTAAGTAATTGGGGGTTTCTTGATTACTTTTTATTTCAACTTGGTAGTAATCTGTTTGTAGACCTAGGCTGAGCATGGCTTTTATTCATTGTCCATAATACATGCTCAGTGTATTCTTGGTGATGGCTTAATACTTATATAAATTATTTTTCTGGAAAATTGGGAGGGGGTTCCAATCCCAGCAAGATTATACTTTTCTTGGAGAGAATACCATATGTCCACTTATATGTATCTGTGCCAATCCCCTGCACCTGGGAGCCCAATTCATAATGTTGATATCATTTTATTCTAATACACACAGGCATTTATACTCTTTGCTGTTGCCACTGTGTAGTGAACATAACCACACAGGACTGTCTGGATCTGAACAGTCAAGTGAATGGCCAACATGGAGGTACCTTTTCTAGGATAATGATCACTCAGAGAAATTGGAAAATGTTAGTCATAATACAGTTTTTGGTGTACGTATTTCGTTCAGAAAGGTCTATATATTTGCCTTTTGGGTGTTTTCAAATGTACACGGTTGAAGTAAGATAAGAAGAAATCATTAAGAGAGCTTTATGATAATTTGGTTTAAGCAGTAGAAGAGGGGCAGGGGAGTGAAAGAGAAGATAAAGGTTGACTCAGTGATTCGTGAGTTCTCACAATGGAGGCTTTTCATTCTGATCCACTAGGTCCTCTCTTGAGCCATAAGCTAAGAAGGAGTCAAGAGATGAGGCAAGAAAATCCACACACGTTTAAAGCATCTGCCTGGCTTCTCACCCTGCTAGGATATATGCTTGCTTTATGAGTTTCTTGAATTGATAAACGCTGCCCCTCACCTGCTCCTGTGGCCAACCTGAGAGGTGCCATCCCTCCCCTGCAAACGTGATATCTAATTTTCAAAGACCCTTGGAGTGACAGGAATAGCAGCTCTGTGATGCTTCAGGGATGCTGAGGAACACCAGGGTCCAGATGGCAGAATATCCACGGGCAGTGAATCTGCCACGCTGCGTCATCAGAGGGCTTTGGTGGCTTCATTATGGGCATCGGTCAGACATGAAAACATATGGAGAATGTGCAGCAGGGATTCTGTCTCACACACCAAGCACTGGACAGGATATTAACTTGTCAGAGGTGCAGAAAGTGGCCTCTCTGAAAGGTAAGGGACACTTTGAGAGATCACACAGCTCCT